AAAAAAAAAAAAAGAAAGAAAGAAAATATATTTTGATATTCAAACAATTGATTTTACATGTTTAGGAGGCAGGAAGGGAAGAGAAAGAATGACAAAATATTATAATTCCAGAAACTGAGTGATGGATATATGGAGATTTATTATAATTTCTTTCCCTCTTTAGATAAAAAATTTTCATAATTTCTCTCTTATAGAGCATCCAGAATAACATATATCTGTAAGATGAATAAAACTTCACTGACTGAGTTGGTCTGCGTGGGGACAGGAGACGTGCCTTTAATGTACTTAGATCCAACAGGTCTTACCTGACCATGTTTATTCTATATTTCATTATGAACACATACTTAATAATCGTCATAAAATTAAGCTTCCATCAATTAGCCTTTGAATATTTTATAGATCAGAAAACTATGGCATGGTACCAATGAATTCAGATCAACTTAAAGGCGTTCCTGTCCCAAACAGAAATGGTGTAGGAACATCTTCCACTTAGCACTGTCTGATTTGGGGTGGGGGATAAAATTTTTTCTTTCCTCACATTGAGCTTTTCTGATTCTCCTTATCATCCAATCAGTTTTTCTTGATCTCTTCGTGATTTCATTTGTGAAACTACATTTCATTGTAGTTTTTTGTGTGGTTTCAAGTTCAAGTAACAGAAAGGCAACTCAAACTCAGTTGAAACAACAAGAAATTGTATTGACTCACATAACTAGAATCCTAGCATGAGGGCTGACTCAGGGGCAGTGTAATTCAGGGAAGATTTTCTTGTCTTCGCACTTTGTTTTGGGTCTGCCTTGCCCTCATGCTGGCTTATTGCAAGACGGTGCCCGGTGGCAGCTGGAATGAAGAGGAGCAGAGGCCAGAGCAACATGACTTGCTGAGCCATCTCACCAGTCCTAGGTGGCCTTGTAGAAACCTCCAGGCACACTCACTTCTGTTGCTGAGAGCCTCGTCACATGGGCACTCACAGCCACGGGGGAGTCTGAGCTGCCAGGTAGCTGGCAGGAGACGCTGGCAGCAGACTTCCAGGGTAAGAAGAGAGTGCAGCTCTGCGTCAGGCAGGGGCTGTGTCTCCCCTGCAGTCTGGTAGGGCTGAGGAAGGTCCCATCTCCATTCTGGATGAATTCTGGAAGGGTTGATGCGTTTATCCTCAAACCAGATCACCCCTGAATCTAAGAAAGGGTCAGTTTCCTCAAAGTCAGATGGCTCATCTGGAGGAAGGTGAGTACCTGAACCAAGTCAGTGTTCTGTGAGGGAGAAGGCAGAGGCAGGACTGACGCAGGAGGGCAGCCCCCGGTATTCAGGATGTTTGCTGATGGTGGCCCTGACCTGTCCCCAAAGGCTGTTACTTGCTCTCTGTTCTCCTTTCCTTGTCATTCCACTTCTAAGAAACCTTCTCCACTGAGGTTCAGCTGCTGTGAAAATTTCTAGCATAGTTATCCTCCCAAATAGACATCTTACTCTGTATTTAGTTGTATACAAAGATGAGCGTTTGCTGTGAAAATTAATTAATTAATCCCTTTGTTAATATGCCTTTCCAACTTTAGTTTTGGTCATTCTTTAGGGCTGCTATAACAAAATGCCACAAACTCAGTGGCTTGTGGATACTAGAAATTTCTTTCTCATAGTTCTAGAAGCAACAAGAAATTGCTGTGTTGTTAGGCTGTGAATGCAAGACCAGCTTTCTGGCAGATTGAGTGTCTGGTGAGGGCTCCTTCCCCCCTTCGGACGGGACTCCTGGCTGTGTCTTCACACGGTGGAAGAGGGAAGGCAGCTCTCTGGTGCCTCTGTTATCAGGGCCTATTAGGGCCAAAATCACCGCCTAATCCCATCGCATTGGTGATTAGATTTGAACATATGAGTCTGGAGGCCTGCGAGCATGCAGACTGTAGCAGAGGGTGATGCAGCGTTATCCCACGTGGCTGGCTTGTTAATCTGTTCTCTCTTACCTCTGCCTTCACTGTCTTCATTCCAGCCAGAATTCCTCCGACCCCCAGACCTTTGCATATGCTGGTCCTTTTTCTTGAGGGACTCTCTCTTCACCCATTCCCTTGTTTCTTCTCTTCCAAACCTTTCACAGCTAATTCCTATTTGCATTTGTTTTTCCTGCCAACTGTGCGCTCATCACTGGGAAAAAGCAAAATCCCTGCATCCCTTTCTGAGTTTTCCAGAACAGCTCTGTGATGGAGATGAGAGGCACTGTGGAGAAGTTCACCTTTCTTCACGTGGTTTCATTACAGTTGGAGGCGTGCCCGGTAATATTTTGCCGATGGTGGGATTGATTAGAATGGTGGCGTGCCCGGTCATGTTTTGCCCATTTGATTAGAATGGCACTCTCCATCATTTTCCTTCAGACTGTGGCTTTTATTAATTAAGAAATCCATTACGTATGAATAACTTCACCTGGACAAAAGTGAGACTCGTCCGGTACTAAACCAGAGGCTCCACTTTTCTTTCTGGGTGACTCAATCTTTGCATGTTTTCCCCAAACTGCTTTTAAAACAAAATGGATTTGGAAAGAATCAAACATATCAGATTTGTAATGGACTTCAGTTGGAAATTAGCAGAATTAGCAATTTTATCTAAAAGTAAATGTAGTATAAATAAGTACTAAGACCAATTTTTTAAGGTTAGCATAATAGTTTAATCTTATCTTTCTAAATCAAACGTTTGATTCCAACAATAATTTCGATAAAGGTGACAACAAAATGACTGTGAGAGTCCAGAGCTCAGTGATCATGTGGGTTGAAGGTGAGCTTCCTAAAAGCGGCGGCATAATTAGGTTAGTTTTGTTCTCAGCTCTGCCACTTTGGACAAGTCATTTTACCCATCTGAGCCTCTGTTTCTTTACCTCTAAATTAAAAAAGGGTACCTTAGTTCCTCCTCTCCTACAGTGCTTTGGAGACTCAAAAAAACCAAAATAAAGCCAAGCAAAAGCAAGCCTGGCACCATGGATGCTTCTGCGTGCTGCTCAGACGCCAGTCCTTAGAGTCAGTAGTCGGCCAGGACCTGGGGGCTGATGACGCCGATGGTGGCAGTATAGCAAAACAATAAAATATTTGATATTTTTTAAGTTATTTCGAAGGAAAAGGGCTATTTTCTTTCTGAAGGCAAAACCAGTGAGTTTTCAGTATTTGTCCACATGGTGAAAAAAATGCCTATGAAGTAGATTTATCTCTGATCCTCTTCGGGAACTCCTAGTACAGTGTTTGATATTTGAGATTAGCTGCAAACTGCCTGGACGGTGGTGCTGTGTTTTGTTTTCTAAAATGTTTAATCCCGTAGGTCAGGATGTATGTTCTGCCATGGATACACAGAGATCGATGCCGTAAATGTGCACATGCACATATATGTTACAGGTGATTGGTCTCTTTAACAAGCAGTGTGCTATTATTTACATGGCAGGTTACAGCCCCTTTGATATCAGAGACTCTGGGGCTTCTGCTCACAGCTGCCACTCCCTGGGGACACAGCTCAGTGCACTGTTCCCGCTGTTCCCAGGAGGGAGGCCAGGAAGGTTTGGCCACCTTCTGACGATGGTCATGTTGGCGGGCATCCCCTCCTGTCAGAAATGGCATATGAGGAGTATGGGTGTCATGTGCCATCTGAATCCTTGAAGCCCTGGATGGGTGATTCTTTTGACAACCTGGACTGTCTTTTCTCCT